ACTTTGTTGATTTTGTTGGTACGTTTTTCATATTCATATACGAACAATTCATACAATAGTACATTTTTTTTATCATTTTCTTGTGTTGTGTTTGTAGTAATAGGTTAATCTAATTTGTTTACATTGATCTGCAGTACATAACACTTTTTCCTCAAAGCAAACAATGGCCATAAAAAAAAAAAATAAATAAATAAATAAAACACACACACACACACACACACACTCAACAAACTTGAAGATACAGTCAAACTCATAACAAGCTGTTATTCCTAAACATCAGTTCATTAGCCTACACTTCTTGCAAGGCACACTAGAGCAAGAGAGTTAGTACTTAGTATATATATATATATATATATTTATGTTACAAACACAGGGCGGGCTGCAATCATCACACTCGACTGCGATTTCTCTATCAAAAATCCCAAACACGCAGACGTAAATTACAACCCATGACAGTTCATCAGGCCAGAAAAACACACAAAAAAAAAAAGGCCCATTTTATATTGTTCTAAATCGAGACAAAAACGGATAAAATAGCAAGCGACAGAAAATATTAGGTGAAGTTTTCGACATTCAAAGCTCTGCATAACCCCATTTCCTTTTCCCTTTCTTCTACACTTTACTTGTTCTTCAAAGGTTTTACCTACGGTGGAAGAAAGAGAAATCGGGGTGATTGACCTGGAGCAAACTCAGCCAGTTACTAGCCGCTTGCGAGAGAGTGTTTGCCAGCTGGCGCTCGTAACCCGTATTAGGAGTCCATATCGAAACTTTGTACTTGTACGAAGCAAGGCCAAAAACCGGGAGTGAAATGTGCGGAACTCCATCGCTCACGTTCGGGTATTTCACAATTGGAGGATGCATAGTTTCGCTTCCTGCAAGATCGCAAAAGGAGAATAGTTTAACACAATATATGTACACACACACACACATATATAAGAGAGAGAGAGAAGAGAGAGAGAGAGAGAGAGAGAGAGAGAGATTTTAGCTATACCAGTCATGGGTGTATGAAGAGAATGAAAGGTTAAAAAGCAAGCATCGAGATCTCTAAGAGTAGGACCGGTTGGTATTCTGTAAATGGGGTACCTATTAAAAGGCGATATTTATCAGCAAGTCTAATAAATCATGAGTTGAGGGGACCAAAAAAGAAAAAAGAAAAAGAAAAAGTATTGTTATAAATTCAAACAAAATACCAGGCCACAGAAATCCAACTGGAAGGAAGCAAATCACAACTCTTAAGCGTTTTTAGTTCCGGAAAATTGACGGCTAAATCCAATATCTGTGTATGAGTTGATGATAACACATGAAATGAGTATATATACCCTTGTTGTAACTGAAAAATAATAATAAATATCAAGAATTCACGGGAAAAGAAAAACATGCCTTGTTTGCCAAAGGTTCTCTACAGTAGGGTGGGTCCCGCTCGAGATACTCGAACAACAGGGTACCGTGCGAACTTCCATATTCACCTTCGTCACTGGAAAAGCCTTCTTGAAGTGACATAAGCTGCTCTCTGGTGTAATTCAAGCCGACTTTTTCTTGATCACTATCACTACTCCCTTCACTGCTGGAATCCCTAAAATACTCACCATCACTTTCTTCACCTAATCGCCTATTACACAAGGGAAAAATATAAGGCAAGGATAAAGTGCATAACCCCCATCTCGGGTAACTTAAAATTCGTAAATAAAAATGGCAGGAGCAGGAGGAATTTTACTACAAAACATGACAATAAATTGACATATTAAGAACAGAAAATGTTACTTCAAGTTAATAGAATTATAATCAATCACACCTTCGATTCTTTCAACACATCCAACATCAAAGACTGATGTTTCATGATTGTTTGGAGGCGGATAAATAATATTGAACAGAACATAAACCTCTTCATTGTTCTCCAAAAACTACAGTCTAAACTCAGAAGGAAAAATCAAGAATCGTTCCTTGTGCGCCCCTTCTTTCAAGAGAAGCTTAATTTTGTAATGAAGATAATGAAAGAACTATGCATAACCACAGTGAATCTAAGAATGTTGTTAATACAGACAGATATACCTCAATTTGGCTGTACTTTTTGATCTGTCAGCATACAATTGAATCCCTGATAAATAAGGAACATAATACTGAACCACGCCATCAAGGCCGTTCAATATCAAAGGCACTCCAACTCCATATGCACTCCATTCCTTAAAAGACTCCCACAAATCACTTAGCACAAAGAAGGGTTGAAACTCCGAATCACAAGTTCTCCAACTCCTCGCTTTCATCTGCAACATCTAACTATGTTTTCAGAAAACATTTCAACATTGAAATACGATGTATAGATTTCGACAAGCATGTGGTAAAACAAATGCCATGTTGCCCATATCAAGTGAATGCTATGCTGTAATAATCAATACATCATAAAACATAATATTCAGATAAGAACTAAATGAAATGAATTACAGAGCTAAATCACCAATTACACAGCTAAAGTTTTCAGGCTGACTGAATAAATTATTACATCCTTAAAGCCGCTGTCTCGGAGAGTCAACAGCAAGTTTTATAGCCAGTAACACCACAATTATACAGATGTTCACAATCTAGAAGCTTAAGTTCATCCTTCACCATGAATGAATTAAAATAAACAAAACAAAAGGGGAAAAAAGCAGAAAGAAAAAGGGCAAAGAATAAACCTAACACCTTAGATAAATACTGCGCTTGCACCGAAGGCGTCACAGACTCCAAGAACCTCTCCAAATTACACAGCGGCGAGGATTCCGACACCGGCGGTGATGCCGGAATTTCTGATTTCAACTTTTCCGGCGCCATCTCATCGGACGCGCTCCGTGAACGGTTCGAGACGTCGTCTCTCTGAGCCCTCCGCAACTGCTCTTGGCTCAGGCGAGCCCTGGCCACGCTGTAAAACCTATCCCCGCCGCTCATACTCCTAAACTCCAATCCTGCCCCCAACATATTGCCCAAACAAAGCCCAGAAAATTCCTAAATCTACCCAAATAACTACAAGCTATCTCCTTTATCGGCAAAGCTTCAATCCCATAAAAAAAAAAAAAAAAAA